TCAGTCCCATGAGCTGTTGCTATTTTGGTTATCTCAGCAACAACAAAAGTAGACTACGATTTACGCAGCGTAAAGGATACTATGAGCATATGTATAGTAGTTATGTCTGTATGCGTGGACTGCGGTGAAATGACACCAACACTGGCTTTAACATTTTTTTTTTTTTTGTTCAGGTCCGCATTTAGGTCACCAGTCGGTAGTTAAACAAGCATATCGTTGGCGGCAGCGGTGTATGTAGCATCAAAAACGTAAACTGGCCTCTGCCATTAAGGTTTCACCTTCGTTGAGAAAGTTTTTGTGCGCGCTTTTAGTTGAAGCGCCTAAAAGTACACAATTTTATAGCAGTTTTAAGCCTTTTGGCGAGGGCGCTGGCGTGTGGGATTCAAGCCTTTTGAGTTGGCTTGATGTGCGGCAAGCGCTTAAGTTGCCTGACCGCTCACCCAAGTCGACCTACACGTGTATGTACATATATTTCTTATACTTTAGCCCACATATTTATACTCGGCTGGCTTTACGCTTTCACCACCTTGCCTTAGTCTCTTGCCTACTTTTAGCTGCTCGCATTTCATTTAATTGAAATAAATGCGTGTGAAAATGCCAAATTAATGAAGAGATTTCGTTTCTTCTGTGGGTTAGTAATGTGTGCTGACTTGCTTGCTTTTGCGTTGATGGCGTTAATTTATTAAAACGCCGAAAAGAGATATTCGAAGAGGCTAACTGCGCCCACATGCAGAGTAAATGAATACAGCTGTAGGAGCTGTAGAAACAACCCAGTCGGCAAAAAAAAAAAGTAGCAGTAAAATTGCCTTTTGGGAGCCATTTTTATATATGTATATTGAAGCCATAGGCTTCCCTGCTTGATAATTTATCTTTTTTTATATTGGCATGGCTTGGCTACAATTTCAAGGTCTTCTGATTAATCTGCCTTAGGAAAGGTAGCACAACACACTTAGTTCTAAAGTGGAAATTGTGAAACGAGATTTGTATATGCCACTCCACATAGGCAGTCATGAAAGCCGAGCCAAGTTGCCACAACCTACACACCTGAATATGAGAAACGGTACTCCGAGCTATTTCGCAAATTTTCCTATAAGTTAAAGTCGCATTCGAGTTTTGACGAGAGTGGATATATCTTCTCTTCAGAAAGAACAAACACTTTGTAGTTCACTTTTACCTAGCGGTCGTTTTTTTATCCTTTCACTTTTCAAATTCTAAGGCACAGACAAGCTCTGTTAAAGGAAGTTTGCGGTTGTGGTTTCCTCAAAGAGTCTGCCTGATCGTATTCGGCCTTAAGTTTACCTTTATGTCATTGCTACCGGGAACTAAAGTAGAGTTAAAACTGTTATGTTTAGCTATCTGCTGCAAGGATCAGCGTTTGTCCAGCACATTTTCAGAGATATTCGTGACGGAGCTTACAGCGCTGGTTAGAGCTTGGCTGTCACTTCAACGGAGAACATCTTTAGCATTCCTATCTACTCCGAGTTTATTTACAGCCTTCATTGTAGCCTAAGCCTCAGCCTAAAAGACACTACAATAATAACAACGGTAAACAAAAAGAGTAGCCCAGGGAAGGTTTCCTCCCACTTTACAATTAAGCTTCGATGGCCACACGTAAAATGTTTAATAACTATTTACTGTCAGGCTTTTCACATACTCCTCCCTGCTTTAAGGTTTCTTAGTGGAATTTCTATCCTGAACACAAGTTTGAGCACACCAGTATGTAGCTTGAGTATTTTGCAAAGCTATGTATCCAAAGACCTATTTAGTAGGTGGAAGGAGCTTTTGCAACCAACTACTACATATGTATAACTTAAATACTATCTTCAATACTAGCAAATTTTCACAGAATCATTGACACAAATTTTTTGGCGGGACTTTGGTAGTTTCTTCTCGTGTACTTTCTAATATCTTATGTATATTCTCACATACATACATAGGTATATGCACTTATGTATTTGTATAAGTATATACAACTTCAGCACATACGTATGTATGTAAATTAATTGCACTGCACTCACACAAGTTTCTAAGAAAGGCGCTGGTTTATTTATACTTAACCGATTTCCTTTATGCGTTTCTCAAAATTTATTTCTTTTCCGCTTGCTGCTTCCTTTGCATGCCTGCCTCAGCCAGCCAAGTGTGTCAATGAGCCTTCATTTTCACGGCTCATTGACTCAAGCGTCTCAAAGAGCAACCGGAACACACAAAAAGGATGTAGAGATGTGTATGTAAGGGCATATGTGGCATATATGTATGTACATGCATGAGTGTGTATTTAAATGTGATTGGGCGAAATTAAAGGAAATCAAAATCACATTCATACATTTACCGGTTGAGAAAAAATAATAATACATTTTTATGGAGGACTTCGTGCCTATTATTATTGTTACTTGCCTTCTAACTACTACTGAGAGGGCACAATAGATCACCGCGTCGCAGTGCACACCTCATATTAATATCTATATATCTATCTTGCCTTCTACTATATACATGCATAATTGTAAATCTTTAAATAAGTACATGAATCTTCATACAAGGTGGCACAAAAAGTCATGCCAAATATAATTAAAAACATGTTTTTATATAACGGCATATGTATGTTTATCTGAAGCAATGATTTTTTTATATTTGGAAATGGCTAAGGTGGCCGCCACCAAAGTTATTACAAATTTCGACTCTTTTTACGACCCAAAAATAATATTTTGCTTGGTGAAGTGAACCGGAGTGTATATGTTTGTACATTAGATCGTATCACCAATAAAACACTTTAATTGTTTCCCAGCGAATTGAAATACTCACATGGGAGTATTTCAGGATTGTAAACATTTAAGAATTTCTTTTTTTTTTAATTTTCAATTTCTATTCTGCATACTTCCCCCAGAAATCCTATTTAGTCAAGCTTAATACCTTTACAACGAAAATCGGACGTCAAATGAAAAATTTATAGAAAAAAACCGATTTTGCGTTTTTTACAGGGTACACGAAATTTTTTATTTTTTTGCCTTCCTGTAACACTTTCATAGTGATTGTTCAAAATCACTTGGAAGAAATTTAACTTTTTTTGGCTCATACATCGTGAGACGGTCTTTGTGATATTTTAGATTATTTTTTTCGGAACCCACCACTGTGTCAAATTGTTGGTAAATAAGTACGTGGGAATACAATATTTGAAATGAGTTAATTTTACGCTTCTCACTCATTAAAAATAAACTTTGCACATTCAATAAGAAAACCCTGAACACACATACATATGTACCCACACATAAAGTGTATACCTTGAAAATTAATTCCATGATGAATCTTACGCCCCACTTTTTTATAACCTCAATATTTAATCCAAATATTTATTCAACTTTGTTTGGTTTTGGGCCACAGGCAAAAATTATCAAAGAAGAAAAAGTGTAACATACTTTTAAGCTTATGCATATAGTGCCTCAAATAATATTTCCAATTCTTTTTTCAAGTTAAAATTATTTTGTTATTATTTTATAAAAATATTTTTCATGCAATAATCAAAACCACAAACATTAATCAAAGTTTTTTTTTACGATCTATTGTGGAACGATTTTCTGTAATCCGTTGTCAAATTTGGTTTGGAGCCAAAACCGGTTTCGGCGTTTTGCTATCTTTAGAGTAATTTTTCGTTCTGACACTGAAGATGGCACAACGCCGAAACCGGTTTGTTGCCAAACCAAATTTGCCAAGGGATGACGGCATGTCGTTCCACGAAATATTGTATGAGCTATAAAACTGCATACACAAATTTTCTCAAAATGCGCTAAGATAGTAAAAAGTATTTTGTAAGAAAAATGAAAGACATACGGCAAGATAGCTCGAACGTGTATGTCGCTCCTACAGTCGCAATGGCCGAGTGAGCAAAGCACAGGCGTGCCATTAGAGAGATCCGAGCTCGAGTCCTCGGGCAGCGGAACTTTCTTTTTAGTATATATATTTTTTTAATTTACACTTTTTTCTCTCTTTTAAATTAGTTTTCTTTTAATTTCTATATTTTATTATTTTAAAAGGCAAAATATATTTCTTCTATTGCATTTAATGTTTAGGAACTTACATAATTTTTTTTTGATTAATAATATTTATTTTTTAGTTTAATTTCCTTCCAATTTAGAAATTTTATTGTTTAAAAATTAAAAACATTAGTTTAATTTAATTTAATTTTTAAAATTTTATTTTGTTTGTTTCTTCTTTTTTAAATCTAATTTGTTTTTCTTGTGTTAATTAAATTTTTTTTATTTTTGTGATTTAAAAAGGAAAATACTTGTATTAGTTTTATTTTATTTAGTTTCTATGATCTTATTTTTTTTTTTTTTTAAATTTTTTTTGCATTTTTTAATTCAATTCTCTTTAAATTTCTAGATTTTGTTTCAAAAATAAAAATATATATATATACAACTTTCTTCTTTTTTGATTAATTTTTGTTTTCTTTTTCCAATTTGACTTTTAGATTTTAGTCTTTTAAAAGAAATATGTATTTTTACTTACATTTAATTTTTAAAAATATTTTTTTTTTTTTTACTTTTGCTTTATCATATTATGTAAATTACATAAATATGTAAATTTTTTAATGTAATTTAATTTTTAAAAAACATATTGTTAAGAAGTGTACAGTGTAGCGTGAACAAGAGTTTTATATAAAAATTTCAAAAAAAAATTTTAACTTGAAACAAATTTTTAAAATTAAAAAACAAACATCAACATGTAAACGCTTGTTTGAGTCACTGTAGGTATGTTGTATATAGTACTTCAGAATTACAAAAACAACTTCACACGCTCACTCTCTTGAATATATAGTGTGTACACATACATACTTACATACACATGTACGAGTGTTTAGCACAAGCACGATTTAGATGATGAAAATAGGTCATTAAAATTACATACCGCCCTTTATCTCTTGCCGCTCTTGCAATTTCCATAAAACATCTATCCTTATATTTTTTCCCCTCAAATTATACCTTTTTTCTCAACTCTTATGCTAGGAATATAATCACGTACTGCACTTACCCAAAAAAAAAGCGTAGAAGAAAATGAAAAATCACTCAATGTTGACTAGCATCAAAATGAATTCTCTACAAGTTGTAGCTTAGCAAATGACACACAAACCCATATGTACATATGCATACATACATACATACGCAATATCCATGTGTATTTGTAGTGTTATCCTTTTTACTTAGAACAAGTCTTTATTGGCTATGTTTGTTGTTGCTCTTGCCATTGGCAAAAGAATTACATGCGTTGCCGGTAATATTTTCGAGCACGTCCGAAATGAAAATATCTGAAAAGAGGAAAGGAATATACATATATATTGTGGATATGTACATATGTATGCAGATAAAAGAATAAGCAAAAAAATATTGATGCGGAAGTTTATTAAATTTGGGTGTAAATTTGTTAGGTAGCATACCTACATACATACTATGCATGCCGTATATACGTACATATGTATCTGTGGTGTGCATATATAGATGTATGTATGTATATATATTTTTCAATATGTACGTGATGCTGTGCGTTATTTCTATAATAGGATGCGGGTTGAACGACCTCAATATCAATTACCTTGCGAACCTCAGCGCAAACGAAGGCTGAGTCAATAATTTGTTTGATTGGAGTTGGGTGAAAGCCAACAAATAGATAAAAATAAATAATGTATACAAAATCGGAGATGCAAACCTTGCGTACTTGTGCTTATACATATATAAATTGGTACATATGTATTAGAAATATTAGTATTATACATGTAGTATGTATATAATAGGTCCTTTTCGGCTTCAAGAACTCAAACCTATCATTCAAAAGTATTATCTATTCATTAAAGCAACTAATTTTGTCCAATATATGCAAATTTAGGAGTGACGCACGCCGTTAAAACGCCAAAATTGAATTCAACTTTTTCACCGCAAAAATATTCCAAATGTTGGGCAGAGCTATAAGCGATCCGTGGGCCTAATTTCATCAAGAGAGGTCTCACATGTTGTCAGTTTTTCATTACATCAAATTTTAAATCCCGCTGTAACGCTAAAATTTAAAATCCATTTTACCTTTCTGCACTCATAGAAGAATTTCAGCCAAAACATTTAATTTTCAGCAAAGATGTTTTTGTATTGTTAAATATGAACTATACGCTTTCATTTTCAATAAAAATTAGTCTGCTGTAATCTTCATAGAAATATTAAAAATATTTAGAATTGTGACTGGTGGGGCAGGTCTTTGTGACTGGTGAAAAGTTTCATAGACCAAAACTTCCTTTCATTTTTTTTTTTTTAATTTTTCAAACAGATTAATGAAATGTAGTCATTTAAAATTTATGTCATTTTCTTCTCTACATGGAAGACCCTTATAAACATTTAGGGGATTCACAAGACGTGTTAACCGTCGTAAAATCTTAAGGTTAACATCTTTTTTAATTAAAATGGTTTTAGGGGATTTCTAACTAAACCGAAATTCTTTTAAACTGATAAAGAATATATAATTAGCCAACCCCCCAACCATTTTAACCGCTATTTTACATAAACAAGTGTTAAGCTTAAGATTTTACGACGGTTAACACCTCTTGTGAATCCCCTAATTGTATATAAAGGGTAGTTTTGTTTGTTAAGTGGCTCATCCTTGTCCATTATCCCATCAAAGGGAGTAGATTCGCCATTTATATTCTTATGCTATTGAAGTTAGCTTCAAACAGCTTAGAAACTCAATATATTGTTACGCTCATTTCGTTTTAAAATCTGGTCGGCGGTTAGGATTCAGCATTCTATTTAATTCAAATAGTGTTTAGCTTTAATTACTAATAAGATGTGATTTAATAAGAGCCGCCGATATCGATAAAATGAACCAAAAAATACGAGACTCGTAGACTTAATTTTGGGTTGTAGATTACGAATTTGTTTGCCGTTTTTCTAGATCAGGTCATTTTCCAAAGAAATTTTAAGTTTAAGTTTTCACTGCAAATAAAAAATATTCAAACTTTAACATGGAAAATGTTACTCATACGCCATGTACGAGTATGTTCAAGTACGCCTATTTAAAATATGGCGTTTGTGTAACAATATTTCCTTATTCCTATTCTATAAAGAAATGATTGCAAATTTTCATTTGACCGTTCAAAACTCGCTTATTTATGTATCGATTTTAATCAGTAGTAGCTTGATGTTTTCGCAAAATAAAAGGCTTTACTACACCCCGCGAAATATCGCATTTTCAGTTTAAATGAAACTTTTTTCAAATTAAATGAAACCATTTTCAAACAAATCGAAGCCTTTTTAAAATTAAAAGAAAACTATTTCAGATTCAATGAAACTTTATTCAAATTAAATGAAACTTCCTTTTAAGAATGTTTCATTTATTTTGAAAAAGTTTCATTTAATTTAAATAAAGTTTCATTGAATCTGAAAAAGGTTTCATTTGATTTGAAAATGGTTTCGTTTAACCTGAAAAAGGTTTCATTTAATTTGAAAAAGGTTTCACTTAATTTGAATATGGTTTCATTTAAACTGAAAATGCTATAGTTACAGGACCAATATTAAGACTTCGTTAACAACACAGTTTTTAAAGGAAATAATTTCATTATGTGGCAACACTGTCATATGATCATTGTGTATTTAAATGTCACTTGTACGCCGGGTAACACTGGTGTATGGGGCGTATGAGTGACATTTAAGCCATTTGATTTTCTTTTGGCCCTTCTCGGAATATTGGATTTTTGCATGCGCGTAATTAAAAGGTTTAATTTTGTCAAACGTTGATATGGCACTTACATGCATACATACATATTTACTTATATATACACTTATATATGCATAGTTATGTGGCAATTAACTGTATAGATTTTCGATGCAATTCATAAGTTGAACTTTATAAGGCATATTTATTTAAGGTTATATTATCTTGGCCTATCTGCAATAGAAATATTCCTTTTCCGCTCGTGGAGCTCTTAGCGTTAAACAAAGCGACGTTTAAAGTTTACTAAAATATGCGCATAATTTCCACACAAAAAAAAAATATAAAGTATTTAATTATAAACTCCAACTATTAATTAAAAAAAAAAGAAAAGGTAAATATGTTTCCCCACACAAGTTTTTTTATGCCTCTGAAGCATTCGTTGCAGCTATAACTTTCCTTAGACTTTCTCACACAGAAACTACTTATACATTCAACAACTCTGTCACACTCAATGCATTTTATTGTTCACTGGTATTTAATTAGTTTTCTTTACAGTCACATTTTATTTCTGCCATTTTTTTCTCCACATCGTTTTGCAGCTTTGCCTTGCAGCCAGGCAAAAATTAAAAAGTCAGCTAAAGAATATGAAAGTGGAAATGTCACTAACACACATGCAGGAACGCAGGGATGTACATCCATTCTTCCAAATATGAATCCACAAAGTTAGGTATAAACATACATACATACATATTTAGCCAGAGGTATAATTGCTCTTAGTGTTCGCTTGCAGAAAAGTAAAAATAGAATGCTTAGTAAAAGTTAAATGAAAAGATATTACTTGACAGTAATGTGACTGAGTATCATTTACACTTTAACACTTTGCTATGGCAACATAACTTCTTGCGAGCAACATAACTACGAGCACAACGTATATATTTATTCGGATACTCCTTTTCGTCATGCCTCCTGGGGTAACGTGATGGTGAATTACATCCATAAATGCAATTAAAAAGCAGACAAATGTAATTTTAAGTGAAATAGTTAAAAGGCAAGAATGTAGAAATGAGTCAATCCTTATGAATTCAAGGCTTACAATAAGTAAAAAAAAATGTAATTCCATCTTTAAGGTCGTAACTTTTTCTGCTCAAACTTTTGTTAAACCTTTGCTTATGAAATTATGGCGGATGAAAATATTTGTTCCCCAATGGGTATCAGTTTGCAATTCCTGCTGCGCGGGCAGTCACATAAGCAGAATAGACTATGGGGTTTTCTCCATCAGCCCATTTTATTTAAAGGCTACCTTAACTTAAGATGCTTACGGCCAAGTTGAAGGAATCTTTCGGAGTCCCTCCTGGAAGGAGTTATGAACCTCTTTGATTGTCTCATTGACCGACCGCAGAAAGGCTCGAGTCCATGCAAACGAGTTTGTGCTCCACGTTTTGCGGGACAGTCAGCCCTTTCGTTGCCTTCAAGTCCTTTATGTTCTTAGACCCAACACAGCGTTATCTCGATTGTGGGCCTCTAGGTGGTTCAACAAAGTTTTACTATTGTCCTCAAGGCTTAATATCATTCTAAATACATAAGTCGAAAGCCGTTACGTTAAAAAAGCCGTCACTGAAGATTGCGGTAAATATTTTGCGTCATACTGAGAAGCTATAAAAGAATGCTGGGCACAAATGCAGCATACCACAGATTTTAAAATGAGGCAGAATGCCACGAAATCATTTTTAGAGCAGAGATAATTTTCAACATTGCAGAATCGTTCAATATCTGTTTAGAACCGCTAGAGGGAATGCTCTAGAAATGCGTACACAAATACATATGTATGTGAATCTGACCTGCTGCCGAGAGTTTAACGTGGCTATTATCTAGCTTCAGAATAGGAAGTTTCATAACTTTGACCGAACTTAATCTAGCGATGTTTCACAGAAATTTATGAACAGTTAGTTAACACAAAGATGTTCTAAGTGATCATTTCAACAAGACTATCGGCCACTGATTAGCACCAACCCTAGTCTACTAGACTTAAACCTTCAATAGTTGTAATATGTGCCCACCTACATAACTACATATATATATATATAAATTTTTGCAAACAAAAAGCTCAAACCTACATTTATCATTTGATCTAAATTTAGCTTAAATAACTAAATCGTTATAATTCACCTTCCTTCAGTCGAAGGCCATTTTTCTGAAGCCTGCAATTTATAATTATAGGCAAATCATTGTAAACATTATCAATGTATTAAGTACTAACAAATTCTTCTTCCTACGTACAACATTAAAAGCATTGATATTAATCCAATTAGTATTCCAACGAAGCTTGCTGACCTCAAAGCCTGGAGCAAAAAATATGCCATGCAATTCGAAAACATTTCATTTCGTATACCATCGTATGAACATATGTATATGTGTGTAAATATAATGCATTGACAATTATTCAATTAGCCAAAGTTTTTGTACAGGTTAATTTCTCGTTTTCTATTGCTTTCATTATTTTGAGCAACTACATACATTTTTAGAACACAGAAAGCGAACTTAGAGCTTTGTGCACAACGACAGATTTAAGTCGACGTTTCCATGTAAATATTTGCAATTTTAATAAGCCCCACTAAC